ATACAACAAACAGTAAAGCAAATCGGTAATAAAAACAGTAGAAAGCACCGAACAGCAAAACCAAGAACAATCTAAGTCATGCTGAGTCAAATGCCAAAGAATACAAGTGAGTTTTGAGGCGGGTTTTGAAGATGGGCAGCGAGGAGGCTTGCCGAATGCTCAGTGGGAGGTCATTCCAGACAGCGGGACCAGCAACAGAAAAGGCTCGATCAAAGTAACATGTCTGCATTATCTGTATTTGGAAACAAAGAAAACAGTTATCTAACTGTTCAATCCAACTTTATTTGAGGAAGAATGCCCAATACACAATAATAAAGTCAATGTACAATGGGTATAAACTCAAATTCGTCCTCAGAAAACACATCCCGACACGCATGCCTTCACGAGCCATGTTGTTTTGTTGCTTTTGACCACAAGACTGAGACTATTCCTCCTATGCTCAGATGTTGTTTCAACGACTGTATTTCACTCTTTTCGGCTCATGTACTGTATGTGGGCAATGTTCCTATATGCACAGTACCTAGTATCGTGAGAGACTGAAGGGATGATACGTAAGCTGTTCTGCTTCTGAGTTATTTTTGCGAGGGATTTTGCTGGACGACAGAACAGATTTGGGTACCTCACACAACAGATTTCGTTACTTCACACAACAGATGCTCATGTATAACTAAGAATATAGAACAATTTCTCATCAAGGTGTGAGAAATATCAGCACATGCATACAACGACTTCAACAAGAATTAATATCTGTTTAATTTTGCGCTATGGGCTACAAGACCCTCTACAGCAGGGGCCCCCAGCCTTTTTTGCCCCACGGACCGGTTTATGTCAGACAATATTTTCAGGGACCGGCATTTAAGGTGTGGCGGAAATAATACAACAAAATAATATGGTATGAGCTGCATGAAAACTGTGGCGTTTTCGAAATATAATAATAAACACAAGGAGCGTCTAATCTGGCCGCAACACACCGATCGCTGTGGCCATGTTTAATGCCTTCAAAATACGATACAACGCAAATTCAAAGTGCATGAAAATGACGACTCACCACGGCACCGAGCTTGATTTTCTGCAACCAGACGGTCCCATCTCGGGGTAATAGGAGACAATGACACCTCAAGTGTGTGGTTTATGTCCAGTCTACTTCGTAATTTTGTTTTCGTCGCCGTTGCTGCAGAAACCCCCCGCCTCACACAGGTAGGATGTCGGAAATAGCAACAGTGCTATTGTGGCCATCTCAGAGTATTCAGCCATAACTTTAATCCAGTTGTCTCGAACGTACTTTTAAGGCCGCCGTCATTTGCGATCTCCAGCAGTTTTTTTTTTTTTTTTTTACTCATTTTGCGAGCTCCCGCGTTTTGTTTTGAAGTAATCGGTCACGTGAAGGAGAAGCGTGGCTTGACGTGTGTCAATCGTAACACATACGGATGTAGCGGAGAAACCGGTAGTTTTTCAAAATAAAACATCTTTCGTATTCCGAAATAAATAAAACGGAATTAAGGCAAGTTCTTTCTGTGCGGCCCGGTACCAAATGCCCGGCGGACCGGTACCGGTCTGCGGACCGGCGGTTGGGGACCCCTGCTCTACAGCACAGATGTCAAAGTCAAGGCCCGGGGGCCAAATCCGGCCCACCACGTCATGTTATGTGGTCTGCGGGAGCAAATAATGTGTGTCAACTTTCATGATCCTTCCTGAAATCTGTACCGAAATGTCAAATTGTCATGGGTAATAAATAGCGTTGAGATTTTGCATCGACCCTCCTCGGGAAGCCGTAACTCGGAAGTGGCCCGTGACAAAAAATTACTTTGACACATCTGCTCTACAGTATATATTGACGTTGTAGAACATCACATACAGTTCCACGCAAACGTCCTGGACTAATAGTTAGTAGCAACTGACAAATAAGTAAGACAGCACCACCTCACACTAGCAAAAGTGTGAAGTAGCCAATCAATGATATCATCATACGTTTTTTTCTTCTTGCCAGTTTGTCCGCACTGCGTTTCCTACTGACAGCAGGAACAGCTCGACCAAGCGCTGGGTGCATCAGCCATCATCTAGAACAATTTCACTATTTAAAAAAAAGTCTACTTAAAAACCTATAAAAAGAGTCAATGGTATTTTTACACCAAGAATACACAAGTGCAAAATGGCGCGCGCGCACACACACACACACACACACACACACACACACACACACACACACACACACACACACACCCATCCATTAGCACCTTGACTCATTCTTCTTCCACTCTCCCTCAAAGGAGTTCTCTCAACACCCACTCTTCAGGCTTTTTCCGACTGCCACCACTTTGTTCTGCCCATACGAGCACTGTAATAGGGTTGTAATTGTGAGTATGCATGTGTGTGAGTTGGGTAGATGGTAAGTGATTTTCATCACCCTTATCGCTATTGTACAGTGCGATCCAGCTATCAGTTGCACTGTATGAGGAGCCTGCCCTTGTAATTTCAATATATGTACTTTAATGGCTCTCTGTGATCGAAATGCCTGGGACAGTAGGTCAAAGTGTTACATGGTGATGGTTGCTGGGAAAGAAAGTGACCACAAACACAAGGAAGCCGAGTGTGTATGTGTGTGTGTGTGCGTGTGTGTGTGTGATTGGAATCAAACACACTTGGCAGCAACTCTTTCATGTGTCGAAATACAGCAGGTAACATGAAAGAAGTGATTGCAGCTGCTCACAGAAAAGACAAAAGAAATTATGCAAGAGAGGTGACAGAAGGGCGTAGTACAGATAAGGCATGAGAAAAACTAAAACAAGGGCTTTCAATTGAACATGACAATTCTGATCCAAGTGATACAGAAAGCAGCTTCCCAAGGTCCTTACTAATGAGAAATCAATGACAATATGTCACCCAACAACCTCTTGCATCAATGTTAGTTAAGGGAGACTCTTTGCACCTGATAGAGATTCACATTTTTTTGTTTCCTGATTAATGTTTATGAACCAGTTATCGTTCCTTATTTTGTATTGTTTAGTGATAAGTAAACAAACAAAAATTAAGCAGTATCACACATGAGGGATTGATGTTGTACTCACCCACATTTTTGAAAGTTATTGACTTACTTTATAATCGATTATTTGTCAATTGATTCATTTTGACACCTCTTCCCCAATTGTCATGCTCGTGGATCTTGTGTAGTACTCCGGAATAGTCCATTCCACAGTTGAGACCAGTAGTACTTTCGTTTCAGCAAATCTTCATTTGCAATGACACACCCTCACCCGTAGCCTTTAAGACGGCTGAAGATACAGAATTAGGATACCGTGTTGATTGTTAAGAAGAATTGCTTGGTTTCTAGAGCTTCTAAATGCAGCAGAAGGATGGTGAGTGGATGGAAAGCTGCATGGCCAAGCTTTATCGACCCATGATGCCTTGCGGAGATAAGCATGGATGCTCAAGCCTCCCAGTGGAGCGCTAGTAAATATCTTAATATGTGTAGTCAAGATGGGTCTGGCTAGCCGGGCCTGACATTCCTTTCCAAAAAGCAGCATTACCCAACGCTGGGTTTATGGTTACCATAAAAAGAAACCGAGGAGTGTTATCAAATGGTCTGAGGAATTTTTGGCATGACATGTAGTCAAGAGAAAATGAAAGGAGATGAATGCTTTTCATACATTTGCCGCATGAATAACGATGCATTCTGGCAACGCACGCATGCTCATTGATTGTCCTAGGAGACCAAACCTGTTTCTTATCAGCTCATTGATCCATGTGACAGACAAAGCCTTTTACTTACTGAGAACCTGACAAGAGGAGACCACGTTAAATGTGTAATTAAAACACCAAAACGTGGATAGTCAACAACAAATAGATTTCTTAAATAACATTTTATAATACCATATTATGAATGGGTAAAACTACAAATGAATATAGTCCAGTTTGTATAACACATGTTAGCATATCATATTTTATCATTAATGTTGGTGTTTTAGCAAATGTAGAAGAACCACATAAAACTGGAATGTCACACAAGCAGCGAAAGATTTGAACAGAACTTAACAACAAAATCAGTAGAGCGTCTAATCTTTGTTTTTTCATCTCTTAGTGAGCAAGCAGCTTCCCGGTTCACAGGGGATGACAAACAGATGGGAGGTGCATTTACAATGCTCATGGGGTGGGGGTTGGTGAACATTTTTATTGATGCCAAATGTCAAAAAAGGTCACCAAAGATAGTGACCTACAACAGTGGTCCCCAAACCCCCGGGCCGCGGTCCGGTACCGGTCCGTGGATCATTTGGTACCGGCAGGCACAGAAAGAATAAAGAACTTACGTTACTTCCCTTTGATTTATTTCAGAATCTGAACGATGAAAAATGACCGGATTCTCTGTTATATCCGTTTACCATATGTGTGAACATCACATAACCAAACCCAGGAAACAGGTGAGCCGTGAACGGTCATTACATGAGGAACAGTCATTGCAATTGTTAAAATGCTTTTAAAGGTCTTAATTTACATGAAAAATAATCAAAAGTTATCAAATTAATTTTAGACAAAATATTAACTTTTTACTGCTGAAATTTGTTCAATAATTTATGTATACTTTTAAGCTTTTTCTCTGGAGAGGAAACAAATAAATGGCCATAAAATCCCAAATATTAGGGCAATCATTCTAATATTTTCAGAGGTTGAAGCGGGTGTGAGTAAAGATAAGCACATTTTGGTAATTATATTATTATATACTTTACTTCGTATATTTAAATAAAACGTAATTAATTGTCTTTTTTGAATGTGACACCACAGGAAGCTGCGTGTAGTTTTAATTTAGGCTGATGTTTCCATGCTGTGTCAAATAAGTGGTTGACTGACTGAAAGTAAGTCTTTAACATGAATGTAAACAGATTGAATTCGTGAATACGTTCACGCGTGTTTTCATGAATATTAAAAGTAGGAAAGAAGGGAGTAGCTGGGCCTTTGCCCCCTCTCCAAGTCGTACGCGGAAGGAGGAGTCGTCCCCCCCCCAAAAAAAAAATCTGGGAGGAGTCAGCTCAGGCTCCGGGCTCTCTGTCCTGTCTGGAACCAGCAACACAACCGACCCGTGGAAGTAACATACATACCGAGTTTACACGCTGTTTTTGTTTTCGTTACTTCTAAGTACAAAAAGCTTTTAGTCGCTGTGACGAGGTTTACAGTGTGTGAGCGGAGGAAACACTAAACGGTGAGTATGCAACTGATTTCACTATCATGCGCGCGTCGTTCGATGCAATTTAATGAACACATCGTCAAACGTTGCAATACTAATACTCATCTGATGTTTTTTCTAATATTATGGAGTGTTTTTCTCTATTTTATAACTGCTGCATTGCTCGACAAAACGTTATTAACCGTCATGTTTGATCAACAAGTGTCTCAGCGCAAGCTCAATTTGCAACGGTCGACACAGCTGAAACAAACTCTTATTGATAGTCGCTCTAACTCTGTGTCTGTGCTTACACTTTGCTCATACTGCGATACAATCTATTCATTGAAATATGCGTGGAATTTTGCACAAAAAAAAGGTACTTTTAATATCGCAATTGAAGGGGCTCGTGGGACAGGAGATACGTGTGTACATTTTCAGCATGACGTGCCTGGTCCACTGGTGAAAGGCCACTTTGATCCACTCCTCTTTCATCTATAACTGCTTCATACAACAAAGAGGATGCAAAAAAAGTGGTTAAGATTGCAGACTGTCTGTGTCTTATGTGTTGTGTTGTATTATTTTATTTTGACTAAAAGATGGCACAGCGAGAGTGGCTGCCTTTACGGGAGTGCCTATATTTTGTTCTTCTACTTTTTCCTTTCATAACTTTGCTGCTGTGAATTGGGAATTTCTCCATTGTGAGACTAATAAAGGGTTTTCTTATCTTAAATTAAAGTCCATGTAACGTGTAGTGCAGCATCTAATGCTTTGATCTATCTCCCCCTTAAATTTGGGGTTCTTATCTTCCTGTGTGGAGATTATGTTCTTCCACTGCATGCGTGGCACACCCTTTAAAAAAAATCTCTCAAATACTCATTTCCCATAGGTGCATATAAGTTTTAAATTGCTGTTTATTTATACAGTATGTACCCTGTGAGTGACTGCAGACCACTCCAGGGTGTAAGCCGTCGCCCAAATTCAACTGGGATACGCTGCTGCTCCCCCTTGACAAAAGCAGCGATGAACATGACAGAAAAGGAATGGGTGGGTGGATGTAATGTGTATTCAGAAGGTTATTCCATTCAAATATTAGCACTGGAGATCATGACCATTTACCTCATAGTGATGTCATTCTCTTCCTGTCTGGATTATGGGAGCGTTGGCCCTTGCATTCAATCGCAGGACATGGCCACTCGTATTAGAATGTGATGTCGTTGGCCTCTATTGTTGTATGGCTGTGGGCTGCTTGCAAAAAGCTCTCAAGGCTCATACAGAGCCAACAAAAGGGCATCCCCCACCCCCTTGAAGTTCCGGGCCTGACCAGAGCAAATAGAGCCAGGAAGGGCCGCCTTTTGGCTCTTTTCGCCTTGACAACAAACAGCTGTGACAATTCTGTATTTTGAAACACCCGTGGCTAAGAGGATATACAAATAAAAGCACTGCCTAATGGTTGTGGGTAATCGCTTTGAAGGTTCTCTTTGGACACCATCCAACAGTGTGTGCTGATTCACTCTTTTGGGATATTTATGTCCTAATTAGCATCATTAGTGATCGGTTTATGAGGCATTGAAGTTGTGGGAAATACTGTTTAGCGTTTACCTCATTTGCACTGGAATTGGACTGCGCCAGCACAAACACCGGAGTAACAATGTCGGTTAGGAGAGACCAGCCTCATTGGTTCTGCCTGGTTAATGGACCTTAAAGAAATCGTAATCGACTCCCATAATTGTTGAATTTTTTTTTGTGTGTTTGCGTCCGTGCGTGTGCTCTCTGTTTTCACTGTGGAAACTAAACTCGGTGGGTCAGAAGTTGTGGCACTGTGTTCTTATTTCTGTCCATGCGGTTCACATTTTTGAGGTGAGGAAATGTTATCCACCACACGGAACATGATGTTTGTATTATTTCATTTTTCCTTGTGACGGCGATTGAGTGTGACCCGTAATTTCCTTCTAGTGGAAAGCATGTGATGCTTCTGGTCGTTCTGTTTTTGTGACAGGAGGAGGAGGTCTGCTGTCAAATATGCTCACTCGTGACACGCACCAAAAAAATAGGGCCTTAATGTCGGCCATCTTTCTTCGTGGGTGGTCATGGACATTTCAAGCAGTGACATCATTACCACATGAACTTCCCTCATGCACATTACTCTTGTTGTTGATGTCAGTTCATTTAGTGTGAATTATGCATGGTGCTGCAGGCTAATGGAAGATGGGGGGGGGGGGGGATCTTCTCTTTTGATGGTTTGTGTGGCCGGCAGGATTTTTTTAGGGGGGATTGTTCCAACCCTTCTGCAGCCTATTAGGAAGTTTGAACCACCGTTAATTCTGAAGTCACTGATGTTTCTTGTCTTCTCCCCTCTGCATTTTTCTCCATATATGGCAAGGTGTGCATGTGACTTATCAGGCATGGCTAACATCTGTGCTTGCTGTCACATGGTGTCCTTTAAGGTGGAGGTAGCGCACACATCTTCCAGACTGATTTAACTTGAATTAGTTTGGACTAAATGTTTCCAATTCATTGTCCTTTTATGGCTTCCAGGTTCTTTTTGTAGTGTACACGGTTGAGTGAGGCCCGGTGTGACGGTGACTCGTGTGTTTCTATTTTCTGCTGCTGTGGTTTGGATTCTATTTGTCTTGTGTTCATGCAGCAGCATCTGGAGAGGTTGCTATATAAAGAAGCTTAACTAGAGGCTGTTGCTGACAGCATCTTGGCCCACGACTTGTTATTTAGCAAGTGAAGGTCACCTAAAAGACACATGAACTGGCTTTGACCCGAGTTAACACAACCCCGATAGTTCTGTCAGAATGGCTTTTATTGGCAGGAAAGAAATAGGCTTCCTATTTTGTTTGATGATAATTGAGTGGCTCTGAAACTTGATTTAAAAGTTTCTCTTGCAGCTGAGTTTGTGGACCCACACTTAGAGGATTTACTTAGTCAAGCCACGCTTTGGGTATTTGCTTCTGGACAAACGGGAACCTGTCCAAGCTCAGTGGCGGAGCAAGGTCTGATCCAGCCGAACAAGGTGTGCCCAGTCGTGCTCTTTTAACAGCCTCAAGCCTTTGGGGGAGATTAAAGCACACCTTCAGGGTCACCTGAAAAAAAAAAGAGGACAGTGTCAGTTGTGCGAAGAAAATGAAGACTGAAAGAGAGCGGCCGCTTGAACCATTTGTCACAAGGTGCAGGATTAAAAGGAGGGTTGGAGTTGATGCAGGTGGAAAAAATAAGAGCCCAAGTATTTCTTTGCAGTGAGGTGCACCCGAAGCCTCTGATTCGATCCAGTCCAAGATCTATATCTCAAATCAAAACTGACTTATTAAGATGATAAAGAGTGGTGATTGAATAGAGGTAGAAATGTATCAAGTCATTATTGTGTTTGCAGTTTGTAGTTGCAAAGAAGTGTACCGCATCATACTGGGGGCTGCTCCTAATAAGCTTCCCAAAATAGATAACAGAAACGCCTCTCAGGATAATGCAATACACAAAAACACGACAGCTAACTGCAGCCAAAATGATAAACAGGCTTAATTAAATGATCAAATCTGAGTGTCAATTAAAATGTGCACTATTGGCTTCATGAAGGCATTTTATATTGCCCTTAATTGCATCTCTTTGGTTGTGCACATGTACCTAATAGTATGTCCAGTGTGTGGAGTGTTGTTTTTTTTCTCTCAAATGACCCCCAAGAAGTTATTCAAATAGGTTGTAGTGCTGAAGTCATAGTGTATGGGGTTCGTGTCTTCTTTTCTTAGACAGGTTTTAATTTTCTTTTCTTTGGACAATATTGTTTTCCGGGCAAGAGAAAAATCTGCCAGTAAGGTAGGAGACTTTTCTCTTGACCGTAAAAAAAAAAAAAAAAAAAAAAAAATCAGTCTGAAGAAAATATACTTAAAATGGAGTGCCCATGTGTGTTCCAAGAAAATCTGTGTTCACGAAGAAACAATTATGGCTATTATTAATGGAAATTAATGACTATATTGGAAGAGGAACAAATCCTGGTGTACTGGCGCACACATGGGAAGTTGATATGTTGACATTGATGAGAACATTGTTGAAGTGAGTTAGTTATTCTGAAGCGCATCTGTGTGTCTGATAGCTTTTCCAAGAAACATGTTTGCACGTTTTATATGGTAAACCGGTAATCGTGTTTACATGGAAATGGCTATGCACCCGCTCACAAAAATCATGATTGATCCTTACTTTGGTCCAGTCGCCATCAGGCGTCACTTACCATCCCTATTGGAAAGGCAAACACAGCTGGTGCGATGGTCAAAGTGCTCGCTCGGAGGGTTTCACTTGGCGCCGTGTGTCCTGTATTGTTCCTGCATGATGGATGGTGCAAATTCACATTTACCGCACCATGTCCCACCTGCTCTTCACTTGGGTGGAGATGGATTGATTGACTTTCCATGTTCAAAATAAAAACTAGGAAGCACAGGTTCCACGTTCACCTCAGTCAATATTTTTACGAAACCTCTCGGCATGAATGATGGTATTTTGGCCGTCTATGAAACATCCGTCAAGTTACTCTGCGGATGATTCTGTTCAGGGTCACAGCAAAGACGTGTTGCTTGTTTCACTGGACATAATATGGAGGGTGGACTTACTCTGGACTGGTCGGAGAGTGATTGTGAAGGGAGCAGAAAGCTAATGCTGGACTCCCCCCCTCTCCACTTGCTGAAAGAAAAATCAGCCAATATGTTACATCCCACAGAATAACTTGCACCAAGGGCAAGCAGTCAATATCTTCATGTTTGCATAATTACTGCAACCAGAAGATTCATTTTTGGAGGGGCGGAGCACATGGCAAGCGTTAAACCATTCAGTTTAGGTGTGTCTCCAGATTAAGTTAAGGATTTGTTTTCCGATTGTTGTTCAGTTTGGCTACGGTGGAGTGAAAAGCCTAACAACAAACAATTCACAATGCTGCTCCGTAACATGCAGACCTCCAGCCAGGCTTAATATTATTTATCTCGATTACCACCGGCCAAATAATATATTTCCTTGACCATCTCCTCGCGCATATGGCTCACTTGACAGTAATACTTCCAGTAAAGAAATGGAAAATAATGAAAGGAAAAATACTTCCATCAATTTGTGTGGTATTTCTTTTTTTTTTTAAATAATACACCAGCTGGTTAGTTGTGAGCTGACACAAATTTCGTGCCTTGCTGTGCTTATTTGCTTCATCTACCTGTTCAATAGCATGCTCGAGTTAACAGGACAGGACAGCATGTTCTCATTTGTGACAGAGCCAAAGTTCTTAGGAGAGCCTTTGGCAGCAGTTGTTTCAGTATTGTGTTGAGGATTCTCATTAACACTCGTCTCTCAGTCCAGCCCTCTCGCCACTTGAGCAGGAGGTGGCTTGATATCCAAGCCAGATAATCTCTTTTCTTGATTTCTCACTCCCCAAGCTTTGCCCTGTTGGTTCAGTCGTTTGGCACCTGGCCAGTGTCAACACATTCTGGTCCCTGGCTATCCCATATTGACTCTCTAAACATGCTCAATTAACTCTCTTTCCTAAAAAAAAAAAAAAAAAAAAAAAAAGGTGAATGTAACCAAAGATCGTTTTTCCTGAAGCGATACAATCAGCAGGCCTTGTTTGGCCGTCAGGCCTCAGCTGTCAGACGGAAGAGGATGTTAGCTCATTGCAAAAATGTTACGATAAGAACACTCGTCTGTCATCTGTTTTTGCCGTCGCCAAGGGGGAAATGGCGACAGTATGCATCTCATGGGCACCTTGCCTTTTATCGGGGAATGGGGCCTAAAGTCGTCCTGACAGCCGTACTAAATGCCTGAAAAAATGTGATGCAATAATGAAACAATTCCTCTGAGCTTGAATTTGTTTTTTTGAATTGCATTGCGCGCCTGATGAAATTCTCTTTCAGGCTGTGTATAGCCCACGGGGCCTCTGCTGCCTTACATGATGCCCAAATGGTACACAAGGTTTCTTACCCAACAGAAACATCTCGCTCCAGTATTCCACTGGCGCTGCCAAGACACGATCTCTCCTCCGCTATTGCATAAGAGCTGTTTCAACTAAAGGGGTGCTCCATTTGCTCAAGGGAGCGGGAGGGGGGGAGACCCGTCGCCCTCACTGTACCTGCATGGCTTAGCAGATGAAATTCATTGAATGTTATTTGAGAAGAACATTCTTAGACTGAATAAAAACTCACAGTATTAAAGTGGGTTCAAACCTGCAGGCCATAGTTCACTTTGTAATTATTAAAAGGATGGACAACAACCATTTCTTCACGCTTTTGTAAATACCAAACACACATGCATGTATGCTGTGTTTGCGGGCGATGCTAACAGGCTATTTCTGGCACTTGACATTCAACGGTCATTGGAGAAGTTGACTTCTAATTTGCCGGCATCTCTGTGCTAATGTTATTAAAGGTCCTGCAGCCCAGAGAGCGAGCTGCTTTGTTTCATCTGCTGGAGATCCCGTTGCGCCTTTCCGAGCACAACTAATTTGGTTTCTTTTTTCAGGGATAATTTGCATTAATTCAATAAGATCGCCAATTTGTCCATCTGTCTGTTTAGCATAGAAGTCAGGAGCTAGAGGATGGAAAAAATATTTGGTGGCTTTTCCAGATGTTTCCAAGTGTCTACAGTTTAGACTGACTCTGTGTGGTAAGAGTGGAACACATGACTCATAACTGCAAGGGATGTGCAAAATCAGTCGAGCAACTGGTGCGCGTGCGTATTTGGGGAAATCACTGTGTGTGGATGAATAAGGGCTGCTGTGGCGCTCTTGGAAAGCGTTCCATCGGAAAAGGAAATGATGTGACACTGGCTTTTGCCAGAATTACCCCCCCTCCAAAAAAAAACAAAAAAACAAAACAAAAGCAACTTTAACGTCCTAGTATTAAAATAAAAACAAACCGAACAGGACATTTTTGTTGCAACTATTAGTCATGTCCAATGTGTAATAGAAACGTCATAAATACTGAGAATATCCAGATAATGGTCAATTGTGAAAATGAACCAAATTACAGCTTTCAAAAGGTGGCGAAAAGTCAAACAATTGTAGTGCTTTTGAAGTGGCGAAGAAATTAGCCGTAGGAAGTTGTTTTGCACTGATTTACAATGCGTTCACATTTTAGTTGACACAGACAAATGTACAGATCACGGAACGGCCATTAAGGAGAGCAGCCATGGATGTCGGAGCTGTAACAATGACAATCTTTTATCTGCTTTTCAGGGTAGGAATGTGTCAGTGGTAATTTTGGCGCCAAGGAAGGATTACTGCAAATGGGTCGCAGAGGCCATTCATGAGAAACAGTCAAACAGAAGCGACGCACCAACAATTTGACCACTGAAAATTTTCCGACAGATAAAGAAACAAACACAAGCAAAAACCTTTAACCCAAGCACTGTGGCCTCTGGGCGGGATAACCCCCGTCTCGGGGAAGATTAGAAGATACTTAGAAGAAGAAAAAAAAAGGAGGATCCAGCCCAGCGTAGCGGTAAATCATGCTGCTGTGGCTGCCCGTGATGCATCTTGGTTGCCCATTCATGTGCCAATGGCCCGCTGAAGTAAGGCGGGCGTGGACATGAGGCCAAAATTCATCTGCCATTAGCTCCGGGCTAGACCGCTGCCTGGCCACCGAGGACTGCCTGCCTCTCCAGAGGCTGAACAAGTATGGAAAACGATAATTGCAATATCGTTTTTTTTTTTTTTCTTTTGTCATTTTTTTTTTCTCAAAATTGTGATCACGATTTGCTTTGCAGTTTTGCAGTGGCACTGTATGTACTGTATTTTTATCACTTGGTGGCGCATGGTGGGCGTCTGTGTCTCGGTTATAATGAGGAAATAGATTTTTTTTTTTTGCCTCTTGGTAAGCATAGTGATTCAAGTTCTTAATCACCCAAAAACTCTAAAATAAAATAATTTGAACAACTCATATTTTCTATTCAGTTTTTTGCCTTTTCTTTTGCTCCACTGGAATAATTTTATGCGCTGCTGCAAGGCTCCAGCAACAAGTGGTCTGCGCCTCAACTCCACTTGGAAACTTGAGC